AGAGCCTCAAGCTGTCCCCCTGGGTAGAGTGCCATGGCATTACAGCTCACAGCAACCTCCAACTCCTGGGCTCAAGCGAGTCTCCTGCCTCCGCCTCCCAAGTAGCTGGGACCACAGACGCCTGCCACAACGCCCAGCTTTTTTTTGGTTGCAGCCGTCATTGTTGTTTGGCGGGTCCGGGCTGGGGATTCGAACCCGCCACCTTAGGTGTACGTGGCTGGCGCCTTAGCCGGTTGAGCTATAGGCGCCGAGCCTAATTCTCTTTTTTTTCCTAGAGAGACTGGTCTCAAACTCCTGGCCTCAAGCAATCCTCCCACCTCAGCCTCCCAAAGTGCTGGGATTACAAACATAAGCCAATGCAAGACTGATGTCAATTCTTGACTATTAGGAGTATTATAATAGTATTACTATTATGCTATGCTATTTAATAACTAGGTATAACATTAACAAAATATTTAACAAGCGTCCACAAGGCGGAAGACACTATGGTAAACACTTAACATACTAAGCAATACCTGGCAGAGAGCAGTCACACAATTGGCAGCTATTAAGAATCAAATCCTTATTCTAAATATTTCATCTTCTATATAGTATTATTCTAATACTTCATGCTCTGTGCATCCCAAGTGACCGGAAGCTTATATAAAATTTATCTCCTCTAAGGCACAAAGAAATGGTGCTCCCCACCATGCTGAATACCAGCTAAGTTCATAATTACAAGGTCCCTCAGTGATACTATCTATAGCTTTTATAAGGTCTGACAATTAAGTCCACAAACTCATTCTAGAAAAAGTGCTACATACGTCACTGCTGAATATCACTATGGTCCCCTCTGAAGTACTCTTCTTGGGAAGCTATGCACTGACACCAGCACCTAGTCTACCCTTCAAAGCAATTCTGGAACTCCTTTTTTGGAATGGCCATCAGAGCTGTTGTCATATAGCACACAAAAACACGCAACAGTAACGAATGCTACTGGGCAAGACACCGCTACACACTGACACCAACATAGCTGTGAGACACCAAAACCTTACAGTGCTGCCAAGTAAGTGCACAGTGGCAAGTTCGCAAATTTAACTATCAGCCTTCATACGACAGTTCTCATGGTCATTCCAGAAAGAGTTCCAAAATTAGGCCAAGTGTGGTGGCTCACGCCTATAATCCTAGCACTCTGAGAGGCCAAGGTAAATGGACTGCTTGAGCTCAGGAGTTTGAGATCAGCCTGAGCAAGAGTGAGATCTCGTTTCTACTGAAAAAAAGAAACAGAAAATAAAAGGAGTTCTAAAATTGCTTTTTTTTTTTTTGAGACAGAACCTCAAGCTGTTACCCTGGGTAGAGTGCTGTGGCATCACAGCTCACAGCAACTTCCAACTCCTGGGCTCAAGTGATTCTCCTGCCTCCACTGCTCAAGTAGCTGGGACTACAGGCGCCCGCCATAACACCTGGCTATTTTGTGGTTGCAGCTGTCATTGTTTGGCGGGCCCAGGCTGGATTCGAACCTGCCAGCTAAGGTGTATGTGACTGGTGCCTTAGCAGCTTGAGCCACAGGCGCCAAGCCAATCATAATAATTTTAAAATGACTACTTACAAATAGGCATTCTACTTTCTTGCAAGAAAAAATTAGTTCTCAAAAGGCCATTAAACTGAGATTTCTATCTGCCAGTTACAAATTTCAGACCAAGATAAGTTATGTAAGCTTGTAAATTCATCCAATTTCTTACAACACATATTGGTTTTTCTTGAAGCACAAAGCACAATAAATAATTCAGAAAGGCCAGAAAAATCAGTGAAATAATTAAATATGTTTAATACAACTTTATTAGTAGGAAGCAGCAGTGTAGCTAGTTTTAGAACTGAATTCCTGCTCCACTCCTTCTAGGCTGGTTGACCTCAGGCAAGTCACTTAACCTTTCAGAGCTTCATTTTCCTCAACTGTAAAATCCTACTTTGCAGGGTTGCTGTGAGAGTTAGGGATAGAGGTAGGATAAATCCTCCATCACACTTGCTAACAAATTGTAGACAGTCAATATATTGTAAGTCCATAGGGAGCAACATGGTTTATACTTTCTGGTGAGAACAGCTTTAATAAGTAAAAATTATTTATACTATCACACTAATTGTTAAAAAACAGTATTATAAAAGTAGCTAAAGGTCCCACAAATGTATATTATTCTCCCAACTGGTTCATACTACAAATTTGCTACGAATCTCCAAAAAGGAAACAAACTCTAGTATGATACAAAATAAGTCTCAGCCCAATTTCAAGCTAATTCATTATTAGTGCTTTTCCTCATACAATCCTTAATGGCAAGATTTTTGGAAGAGAAGAAAACAATGTAGTTAGGTACAGGGCACACTGACTTAAGTCTAGCCATCAGAACTTCTCTTTTATCTCTCAATCGGTATATTAATCTCTGAGTCTAAAAAATTTAGAATAAGCCCCCCTCCTACACTTTGCCTTTAAGTTGATAATCCTCATGCAACGTTAAATCCAGCAGCGAACTACTGGAAGCGAGAGCATTTAGAACTTTTCATTTCACAAGCCTTAAAAGCACTTGCCAATATGAAACACAGTAAACTTCACCCGAACTGTCTTCCGAGCCACTTGGTTGTTTTAAGAGAGGGGAAGGCTAGCCAGAACGGTTAAGCAAACTGCATACAGGAGATGAGGAACAAACAAAAAGAAAAGCAGCAGCATCAACAAAAACTCTTATACAGCAGGGTGGGGAAGGGCATATATCCAAATTATATATAAACAATTTAAAATGCAGAGTAAAAGAGAGTTCTTAGGCCGACAAAACCATCTGAGAAGGGGTATGTAATTAAAAGAAGGGCAGCAGCTGCGCAGAGGAGGGCAGGAAGTGAGGATAGGGTCAACTCTCCTCGGTAAACTGAATTCACTCTTGAGAGCAGTCATTTCTTTATTCCCAGTAGCCATCCCTGTCTTCTGCAGTGAGTGGTTGTTTTTCAGCAGAAACCTAACTGCTTCTTCTCAAAGACATCTCAGCCCCTACTGGCAAAGTCTTGCACACGGTAATTCAACACAGTGCAGAAAGCGTCCTCTGTATCTTACAATTCTTTGAGTTGACTTAACACGTTTCTACTATACTGGAATTGTCTACTTGTCTGACTCCCCGAACAGACTGTGATCCAGGCAGAGGCGCTCAGTAAACACGGGTTATGAATTAATCTTTTGTGGACTCGCGTTATCTGTGCCTCCCTCGCCATCTCCCCCTGACGTTCCTTGAAGGTGAGGACCCTGCAATAATCTTCCGTATCCTCCTCCCGCTGAGTGCTCAACTCCCCTGCTACCTAGCAGGCTCCCAGTACAGGGATCATATCGTTTTCATCTTTGTGTCCCCAAGCCCACCACAGGTAGTGCAGTACAAACTTCCGCTAATTACAATAGAAACGGGGTTCAAGCAGGTTTAGGGAGGAAAACAGGAGCTGGATGGGCGGGAGACGGCGGTTGAACAGCAGAATCAACTGCCAGCGCCGACACAGGTGTGGGGAACGCAGACAGAGCGCCAGGGAAGGGTCGTAGCCCGTTCGGATGGGCCCTACCTTGGGGTAGGTGTGCAAGGGGTAGGTCAACTGGCAGGCCCGGTGGCAAGACGCCGTGTCACCCAAGACTGAGTCAAACGCTTCAGCCGAGGCGGTTCCCGAGCCTCCGGCCAGGGCCATGGCCAGCAGCAGCAGCAGCGGGAGCCCCAGCTGGGCCCTGACCCAGAGCCTCCCCTTCGGCGCCGCCATTTTGTTCCCCTCTGTCACCGCAGCTCAGCTTGTTGCTGTTTTCTTTTCAGGGTTTCCTCCTCCTTCTGGGGCCAGCCCCCTTCCCCGCCCTACACGCCGCCGCTTCCGCGGCCGCCGTAGCTTCAGCTCCGCCCTGACCCGCCTGAAACGGCCGCCTTCTGCCCCACCTCTGTGACAACGAACTTCTCCTAGGCTGGCGAGAGGTGGTGGGTGCAACCATCGCGAGTATTAGCGCGAACCGCGCTCCTGACGCTCCCTTTGCGGGGCAGGCTGGGAGATGTAGTTCCGTGTTGGAGGGAGGCGCACGGTGCTGCCGGGAAAATTGGCTTCGGAGAACTACAGCCGCGTCTTCCGCCCGCTGCCTTCGCAGTGCATGCTGGGGAGTGTGGTTCGCGGCGGCTCAGAGGTAGGTTGCTGGTTGGCTGAGCGTCTTCCGAGGAGCTGCTGCCTGGGGAGGAATCTTCTGTGTAGTTCCTACGCTAGCGGTTAAACTTGGAAGCTTCAGAGATTGCCGTCTGGAGGGGCCCGGCAGTTGCCAGGGTTGCTTTTCTTGGTGGGTCTCACATTAGACCATTGTTGAGTGCCCCTTCCTGAGCTCCTGAGCGCTGGACACAGAGGAGAATAGTGTTTCTCCTTGCTTGGGGGTCCAGTGCATGACATTCGTGG